TGGAAAGGATACATTGAGAATGCCCTGGAAACTCTCCAGCAGATTGAAACCAGCAAAGGCCAGGCCTTAACACTGGATTCCAGTGTCTACAGTCTGTCAAGAGACCAGGATCCAATCACCACCAAGGAGCTGATGGTCCTCCATGAGTTTGGCCTCTGTATGGTGTTCCAGGTTAAGAAGCGGCCTGAGTTCTGCATTGATGCCCTTTTGTGTTTTTGTCTGGGTGTTCTGCAAGTAGCAGCTGGTGTCCTGGTCTGTACTCTGTCAGGTGGCACCGCTAGTCAGTTTGGACTTGGACTGATCAATGAGGGAGTGTCTGACATGATTCATGGGGTCAAAGGCATGATACAGGGAGGCTTTGACTGGGCAGAGTGGGCAATCTCCAAAGCCATCAGCATTGGAGTGTCTCTGGTCTTTGGAGGCCTGAGCAGACTGAAGAAAGCTGTAAGTGCTGTGAGTAGTGGAACCAAAGGACTGGTCACAGGGGCTAAGACCTGCTCTGTCTTCACAGTTAAACAGTGTTTCAAACATGCAGCAAAGTATGCTGGTCAGGAAATGCTGAAGCAAGTATGTGTCACCACTCTGAACTATGCTGCTGACAAAGGTCTTGAAGCACTGTTCAAAAGGGTTCTGAGAGGGGCCTTCGAGACCAAAGTGCTTTCATTGATCAGAGCTAATGGTCCTCTGGAATCGCGTCTCACTGGCCTCATCTGCTCAGTAGTGCCAAAGACTGTGATGAAACAGGAGTCTGATGGCTTCAGAATTGACAGAGGATGTGAGGGAGAGATGCGTCAGTCAGTTGAAGTGTTGACAAGCAGCATCATTCCTGATCTCATGACGGATTGCACCAAGATCATGAACATTCTTGATAGACTTTCAGAGGCCTCCGGAGCTATAATGCAACATGTGGAGAAAAAGGGAGGCTTGAAGTTGGCCATGAAGTTTTTCGATACGGGTAAATCCATAATAATTTGCAAACAAATCCATGATTCCTTTCCCTCAGAGGACATCATCAATATTAAATTCATCCCTCAGTTGTTGGAAGCAATGAGTGATCTTCCTAATGAAAAATGTGCCTTGGATGAAAGGCAGCAGTTACCAGATGTGAAACGCCTTAAAGATGACCTCATCAGCATCATGGCAGAAAGTGTTCTAGACTCATTGGTGGTGGCTTGTTCCAGGCACATGACCTCCTTCATGAACAGAGCCTGCATTCACAAAATCAGCAACGCTGCTGGAAGCACTGTCAGCAATTTACTGGGCAAGACTGATACCCAAAATTTCTTTGACAACCAGGTTTATAAGAACAACATGAAACAGGCTGTCCAAAGACCAAGTCAGTCCCTATCTGAGGCTGAGCAGCAGGACTTAGAGCGCTACATTGAGGGATTCAGTGATATGAACAGGCCTGCCACAGCACTGGACATCCATGTCCTCACCCAAAGCGACTCCCTTCAAGGAAAAGGCATCAGACTGATTGTGGTGGACGAACATGAGAGCAAATTGACAGAGGATTATTTTCCAGGGAAAGACAGCTCTGCCGAAGACATCGTGATCCGACTGAGGAGATACCCGGATGCTCCACAGCAGTGAGTATTATGAAGAGGTTGTTTTGACTGAGGGGATGTTTCTGTAAAATATTAAAGAAAGTGTGTTAATCCTCAAGAAGAACATTAAAACCTGCATTGGTCTTCAAATGCGGATGCTCAGATAATTATGATCAAAACCAGACTCAGTGACCACAAGGTCTTGGTCATTTGGAATTCTTCAAGAATCTCCCAATAACATTTTCTGTATTCCTCTTTTCTGTAATACAAATTGCTGGCTAAATGAGACATTCAGGTGCCATGAGTTACTACCTGCTTGTACAAGCTAACATTCTATCATTCTGACCATGCTTTATGATTGAGCCAATGTTGGAGCATTTTCAGCCCATCTGTTTAGCTCTTCATGGGCAGACCAGCTCATTGTGTTTGAGGAGCTTCATACAGGAGCCTCTTAAGCTGCTGAGAGATTCATCTGAGGAAGAGATCTATGGTCCTATAGAACCTAAGAATGACTCAGCCACACCTGCCACTTGAACCTTAAGAAGTTAAATTGGAAGAAAAGCAAGTTGACTCCTTGAGTATCAGACCATTCAAAGTTTTTAGCAGGGAGCTTTGAATGATTCAGATTATTGACGTGTTTCAATGTGATAAACAGGGTTTATTTCATGAGTTTCTATGCCCTATACATTTTTCTTTGGGGGAGAGTCGGTATGGGTAAAGGATGCATTCAAATGTTTGGCCCCATAAACCTGCACATCTATTTACTAAGATCAGAACTAAAAACAGCTAGTGGCTAGCTCAAGTGGTAATTCACCTGACTTGCACACAGGAAGCCTTAGTTTGAATCCCCTCTGAGGGAGATGAGCTGTCCGTTAGGGTCCTTAGACATGATCCGTCACGCTAATGCCTAACTCATTGTCAAATTGTACTTTGTACAATGTTTTGAATTAAAGCGTCTGCTAAATATATAAACAACAAACAGACCTCCAAAGCAGGCTAGAGACCATACCTTGACAAGATAGCAGGTTCATGAAACCAGAAAAAAAATAGATTAACAAAGGCATCTGAATCTCGGTCAGGTTAGGCCAGTTAGTATGAGGGGAACCCATCTGTGACCGGGACCGACTCCCAGCACTTCTGGCCATGTAGAAAATTAGAGTTTGAACACAAGCTAAAGCCATCTTTCATCACTATGCTGTTATACCCTGAACCCCACTTAGGATCCGGATGTCATTGATCCTAGATCTTCCTCTTCTACTAGGACACAGGGGTTCTTCTCAAAGATGAGGAAACGGGCTCGAGGTGAGCAGACCCCCCAAAGAGGACACTTTGAGCTGGTTGGAGCGGACGGCTCTGTGATCCCGGTGTATTCAGAGGGCCAGAACTGCCTGTATTATGCAGTGGTCCAGGCGACCCAGAGGAGCTCATCAGACCTGAACCAGCAGGCGCTGGCCCTCCGAGCCCAGGTCCAATGCACTGTGAGTAGTTCTTACACCAGCTCTTCTTCAGGACTCGCACCAGTAGCTGTAGACATAGATGACAGAGAACATAATAGAGGAATTACACAGAGAAGCTTGTGTTGCATGAACCAACAGCACCAAATGCATTCAACAACTTCTCCTGAATGAGTAGATCCACTCTTTAACTTTTGGGCCTTTCTATCTCAGTTGGTCCAGCTTCTGCTTCCATGTTCTCTGGTGTGTTTCCTCTTCCTGGTTCCTGCTGCCATCTGGGGTCTGCTTGGGGTCCATGTCCTGGCTCTCTGGTCTGAAGCGGGGCTGTAAAGGGCTGCCGGGACTAAGGCAGCTTCTCCCTGACGTTTAGGCCTATCACAGCAGCACAAACTCTGCAAACACAATCCAACCAATGTCTGTTGTCGTGTTCCTCTCAGCTGCAGCAGGATGTGCAACGATACGCACCAGCTCTGAGGTTGCAGAGGCAATATGAGCAGACGCTGGCAGCCAGGAGTTGCTACACCATTAGTGGAGGGGCCAAAAGAGAGCGAGACCAGATCACGGAGGCATATCAGCAGATGCTGAACAAGATCCGCATCAGCAACCCACAGCTTTACCAGCTCATGAAGACCTACAAGCTAGGACTGGTGGGGGCGTACCATGAGTGAGCTGCTTTTTACCTGCTCATCATGAAAAGCAACATCATTTAGCATCATGACAGTCTCATCTGGACCAAACCAAACTGTTTTCTCTCTGAAGTGTAATAGGTGTCCGGCGGGAAAGCGGATCTCCCAACAACAACGGCGGCGGTTCTGTTCCGAATGCAGACCACATCCCACCCAGAGACTCCCTGCAGAAGGCCTATGACATTCTGCAGCAAAAAGGGATGACAGAAGCCTTCAGGACCGAGCATCCAGCCCTGTACGAGATTATGGTGGGAAAAGACAAGCAGCTGTGCAGAGAGGTGCTGGCTCACCACCACCAGCTGGCCCTGACCACCGGCAACAGCAGGGAGGCTCAAAGCACCAGGTGAGGCTACCTACTCTGACTGAAGCCTTCTCTGGTGATGGCTGAGTAATTTCCTCTCTGCTCACAGGGCTGAGCTGACCAAGGTCCTGCTAAGCGGAGACAGTGTGAAACTGATGAAGATGTCACTACTCCTGTCCAATCCAGAGGTCTCAGAGTCTCTGAGAAGGGATGCAGGTATGTCCCTAAAGCTCCTGAAGACAGTTGCATACCTGCCAACATTGGGTTGTGAAAATTAAAGAGATTTTGTTAATCCATAAATTAACCTCTGCTTGCTGTTGGGATCCAGTCTACAGAAGTCAGTCAGTCAGTCTGAAAAGTATTTAATACCTATGAAAAGGCTCATCAGCTGCCCTGGATTGGTGGCTTGGGCTTTATCGAGTTTGCAGTTTCAAAGTTGTTTTTTTATTGTTCTGCAAAGATCACCATGGCAACCAGGGCTGAACTCAGGGTTCATAAACTGGGTCAGGGTTTACAAAATAGGTCAGGGTTTATAAACTGGGCTAAGGTTTATAAACTGGGCTAGGGTTTATAAACTGGGTTGGGGTTTATAAACTGGGTAAGGGTTTACAAAATATGTCAGGGTTTATAAACTGGGCTAAGTTTTATAAACTGGGCTAGGGTTTATAAACTGGGTTGGGGTTTATGAACCATGTCAGGGTTTATAAACAGGGTCAGGGTTTATAAACAGGGTCAGAGTTTATAAACTGGTCTAAGGTTTATAAACTAGGCTAGGGTTTATAAACTGGGTCAGGGTTTATAAACTGGGGTAGGGTTTTTAAACTAGTTCAGGATTTTTAAACTGGGTTATGGTTTATATATTGGGATAGTGTTAGGGAATAACACAGCCCAGTAGGTTGAACTCATCATTTCCCTGTTAGGCAGCCAGAGTTCCAACCCGCAGTAACAAGCTGAGGCTGAGAGCGTCAGAACCCAGCTGCTTCAGACCTGGTCAGCCTCCCTAAACCCTACACCAGCTTTTAGAGCCAAACTCTAACATGAATCCTCTGATCTGAACCAACCAGGAATCAGCCGACATCAGAACAGGCTGGATTACCTGTCTGGAGAAGAGATCCAGGCGTACCACAAAGTGGGAAACCGACTGCTGGTGGACGGCTACTCAGCATTAGGGCTGTTCACCTACACCCAGAGAGAGGAGCTGCAGGACTGGCTGGACAGGGGGGAACTTTACTCTGACAAGACAGCAGAGTACCAGCAGCTGCTGGCCTCCATCAGAGACGCAAACAACAAAAAGCAGCTTAAAAGAAAAAGATAGCCAAGGAAGGGGCTTTCTGCATCTCTACGCCTCCATGGTTAGGATCGGCTTCTCTTCACCAACTTTAGTCTGGACTTTATGTGGTTTACTAACCTGTTTTGCTAATTTTCAGAATTCTGCTCAAACACTGAACTCATGTTGTCTCTATATAACTTTTCTCATCTCAGTGGACCTGCTTGAAACTGATGCTTGAAACCTCTGAAATGTAGGGGATACTTTTAGGATAAATTTAGGGGAGTGTGTTCTAGCGGTTAGTGCATTGCGCTTAGAATCCAGAGGTTTTGAGTTCAAGCCCCACTCCCACCGACTGACACTCTGGGTCGCTCAGTAAGACCCTGAACACCACACTGCTCCCGCACAATGGCAGCCCACTGCTCCCCAAGGGGATGGGTTAAATATGGAAAGTCCTTTAATTTCTCTTTACTTGCAACAGTGTAATGAAAATAAAACAATCTGAAAAAAATGAAATAAAAAAATGTCACAGCTTGACTCTGGGGAAGTTTTTAATGGCTACTACTGTTTTTCTATAAGGAATAAGACAATCAGTAATTTACATGGAGTATGTTATGGCATACAATGTTGAAGTGTGTAACTAGAGCCCAATTCTAACGTGTATCAACATGTAACTGACTGTAGACGTGCTGGACTACACTCATGCAAACAAATGACGTAAACTCAAAAGCAGCACCAAGTGCTCAAAGCTTTTTGTGTACATTTTTATTCATGTGGAGAATCCCTGCTTTGACTGGAGGAAGGCCTCTAATGGTGGGAGGGATTTCTCTGGGTGAATGGGGCAGAAGCTCAGTGAATAAAGAACACAAAGCTGTTTCTTGTGTGCTGCTGACACCTGCTGGAACAAACACAGCTGCAGCCACGTTCAACTTGTTCAGTAAAAAAAATCAGGAAATCTGACACAAAGTCTACAGGGCCGTTTCAAGGAATTTGGGGGTCTCAAGCAAAATTTACTTGAGGGATTACCCCCCTCTGTGTTTTCTGATAACAGTGTCATTGTACTTTTCTGCCATGACAATCGCTGACTTTAAATGTCTGCTCACCATTGCTCACCATACACATATATATGTCTTTCTCTCTTGCTCCTGCTTTCTCTCTCTCTATATATATATAAAAAAAAAAAAAACTGTTTTCTCACCCCTCGTGGGGTGGTATGTGTCATCCTCAAGCTCGGGTCCTCTACCAGAGGCCTGGGAGTTTGAGGGTTCTGCGCAGTATCTTAGCTGTTCCTAGGACTGCGCTCTTCTGGACAGAGACCTCTGATGTTTTACCTGGAATCTGCTGTAGCCACTCTCCCAGTTTGGGGGTCACAGCCCCCAGTGCTCCAATTACCACTGTCACCACAGCTGTAATTACTTTCC